TCTGCGCCGTGGATTTTATGGGCCAATAAAAACGAGCATTACCCGCGAGAGGTGTAGGTGCACTACGGGTAAACAGAGTTGTGCGTGTAAAATATTAAGTAGCTTGTTGAAATCGGCCGTTCCGCCAGACGACGGCAACCAGAGCGCTCGTTATTATACGGAGATTTGTTCGTTATTACGCAGAGAATTTCCTTGTCTCGAGCATCCGTCGTATTCGTAGCCACGTGGCCGTACGGCTGCAGCCGTGGCTGGTACCGCCGCGAATCTTTTACATCGAGAAAATCCGAGTTAATTTCCCCAATGCGCGGGCACTCACAGCGCTCTCAGCGCTGGGAAAAGCGGATTTGCTACCCCCGGGGTTGCGGAAATATCTAGGCCCACGCCGTGGCGTGGCTGCCGGGCCGCCGCGATTTCGCGAAATTCCGTGTCTCTACGATATACACGCCCGGTGGGGTCGATTACTGCGGCTGTTCGTTGCAGTTTCACGGGGCTCCCGGAGAAAATTGAGCAATTATACGGTATTGCGTGAGAACCGGGCGTCCATAAGGGCGAGCGCCGCCAATAGGTCCGCGCTGTTCGGTCGATGGGACACCCAGGACACCGTTGTCGGGGCAGCCTTACTTTACAGGCGTACGTGTGCACGCGGTTTGTTATCCACGTACGATGCACTTACGCGCCTCACGCGCGCGTGTATGTACATACGCGTACGTGGACAACGGCTAGGCTCGCCGTCATAAATCTGCCGTACCGTGGCAAATTAAATCATTATCGGGAAGCTACGAGCAAATTGCGCCGATGCATGCTCGCAGGCCCTTGTACATCCCTCGCTCCTCCACGCATTGTGCTGACGCGTCTTTTTCCCCGTCTTCGCATTCCTCCGCTCGCCCTTTATGCGCCGTTACCGCGCGATTTTACGCGCGTTCGTGCGCAGGAAACTACGCGGGTGGTTTCTCTTCTTGCGGCTCGCGCGAGTCTGCAGTTATAGCGCGTAGACTAATACGCATAAATTTCAGCCGAGGATGATGATAAAGAGGATGCGGTGGGCGACGGCGGTCCGACGAGAGATTGCGTGCTGCTTTGCGCCGAGAAATTTTCAACTTTCCGCGGCATAATCTTTGTTACGTTTGGCGCCCCGCTCCTATTCCACCCAAGTATTTTAGGAGCGTACATTGCATACTTTGAACGTATAATATATTTCGCTTGAAATGCGTCATAGGAGCCGCAAATAAAGTAGGAGTTCAATTTCAGTTCTAGAAGAACGTTCTGATTTATCGTTCTATTTAATATCCTAAATTAGGGAATAATCTCTATCATGCGATACGTTAATTTGCATTTTACATTATACACACGGATGCGCCGTGATTCATCGATTCGCATCGAAACCGCATGCCAATAATGTAAATGGCACCACTGGAAAACACTTTTTGAAAACACGTTTGCCACAAGAGAGAAAAGGAGAGAGAGAAAGCTCTTGTCCAATTGAATTCTCATTCCGATAGTTCCGGTTCACTTCGTCGCGACATTGACAAAAGAAGTGCATTTCAGATACGCGATAAATCACCCTTGAAAAATTGGCTCGTACGCCACAGCCAAGCTATACGACTCGATTTCGTTCAAATCGCGCGAGCTGTTGGCCGTGAGTTGTCGGACCAGACCTATCAATTAGTCGAGTTAACGAGTAACTGATTTTTAGAGAGCAAAGAGAAATGACAATCTTATTATCAACCAGGCCGCGGTGAACGAACTGCGTTTTAATTTATTTTCATGTACTATCTTTGAGTCAACACATAGCTCGCTGCAGCTTGTTGCAATTTGTCGTCGTACACGCACCGGCATAAATGCTGCCCCTATCCTTGTGAGGTGCACGCACACAACTACAGGGACTCTAGTTGTGTGCGTGTACCTCACAAGGATAGGGACGTACAGCATTTATGCCGGTGCGTGTACAAGAGAGAAAGAGGGAGAGACAGGGAGAGACACGGAGAGACAGGGAGAGACACGAAGAAACAGGGAGAGACAGGGAGAGACACGAAGAGTCACGGAGAGACAGGGAGAGAAGGAGAGACACGGAGAGACAGGGAGAGACAGGGAGAGACAGGGAGAGACACGGAGAGACAGGGAGGGACAGGGAGAGACACGGAGAGACACGGAGAGACAGGGAGAGACAGGGAGAGACAGGGAGAGACAGGGAGAGACA